CTACAAGTCGACCATTTTGAATCGAATCGCTAAACCACTGCATGTGCATATGTCCCACATAAAGTACTAGGCACATGCAAAGAATGAACGGAATCGGTCCAAGGGACTCTGAGATATAACTACGGACGGACGCACGGACACACGGACGCACGGACGCACGGAGACCGAATTATAAGTCCCTGTTTTCGGACTACGTCCGAACGGGGACTAAAAAATTGATAGCAGCAAAAATTTGACACTTAGGATATGTTATAATGGTATTACCTCCATCTGATATGCTAATATTCTCTAAGTTTTCCAGAACACCCTCAACGTTTACTGTCACACCGTCCACCTTGAGTTCACCATGTAACACAGCTAAGCCTCTCTGATATACAAACATATCCATAGGCATGGCTGAATGAGCTGAAAAATAACTCTGATTATACCCAACATGTAATCGCCCAGTACGATCACCAAACACTGTCCCAAGTCGGATATCCAGAGAATCCATTGGCCTCTCTGGAAACACAAATCCAACATGGCCGCCACCATATATGTGTAATTCGTCAATTTGTATATGTTCGGTATAGTGGTGGCTTTGTTCATTGTCATGAGATGGTTCTCCCGGAGTGATCCACGTCAATGTTGACCCTAGTTCCAAATCTTGGTAGATTGATGTTAGATTTCGGAGCATATCTCGCGGATATCTCCCGATATTATTGATGTACAGCGTTCTGTTGGTCAATTCGGACGTGACGTTGGAATCGTGGGATATCAGTGCTTCAGGACTGGTACCATCCAATAGAATGGAATCATTTGATGCAAGAAGTTTGTGTAAATACACAGTGCCAGCTCCACCAGGTTCATAACCGCTATCACCTCCATATGCAAAGAAATCTCCTGATAGGGGAAACAATATTCAACACATAAATAATTTTTGATATGCAACAAATCTGTGATGGAAACAAGAATTACAGCAATTTCAACGTTAGTCGTTTATTCGTGTTTCAAAAATGTGATTAAAATCTGTCATATTTTAATCAATAAATGTTCTTTTTCACTTTGAATGAAATTAACATTGATGTAGCTAATATATGTGGCACCAAATTCTAGAAGTAATTCTCAGAAAAATATTTCAAAGCCAAAGTTACTGTCAAATACCCCATCAGTAAAAAATAACTGCATACAAGGCTAACAAATTTAAATGATTTGGTTTTAGTCAGCATGTGTGTCAGTTTCTGTCAGATACTGTGAAAATGAAAAAAAATGTGAAAAATAGACAGAAACAAATATTTTTCAATCTATTTTGTGGCTCATTTGTAATAAGCCATGAATTGAATAATAATAAAAGTATCGTAATTTTCAGATGTTGTGATTAATTTAGTAAAATCTAAATGAACACTAGAAACTCAATACTCACCAATAAAATGATTGGCAGTGTAATAGACAGCAATTCTACCTCCCCCTCCACCACCACCAGTCCCGGTGCGTCCATCTCCACCAATCACTTCAATATACCCATCACCGTCCAGTGTACCACACTCTATCCGAACACTCCCACCACTTCCACCGCCACTATGAGGAGACCGACCTTCCCCACCATTAGCAGAAATGGAACCATCCAAGACCAATCGATTCTTAGCACTCATAAAGAGTTTACCACCTCCAGCTCCTCCAAGATGCGGGAATATTTCATGTCCACCGTCACGACCAAATGAGTTGGGAGTTAAAAATGAGCCATGACCCCTACCAACAACAGATTGAATGCTACCCTGACCACCAGTGCCACCATGGCCACCACCAGAACTTCCTGTTTGCCCTGGATGACCAACTCCAATGCCTACAAAAGGGAAAAGATGAATGGAATGAATCACTATTAAGCGCACGTACAGCTTATTGTTAATCCCAAGTTTGAATTAATAATGCCAAGAGATATAGAATTTTCAAAGGAATCCATCTAATATCAACCCATGAACTACCATTGTCATAGCACATACAAGATTGAGCCTGATTGGCTGCCCAACCAGAATATCTAACAGTCTGGCCAATCAGAGAGCAGCTTGTTTGTTGAAAGTTGTCTTACGCATAATGAATTTGACAGGTCAGTAAACCCAGTATACTAAGTTGGCTCTGATTGGCCAATCAGTTGAAAAATACAGTGTATATGTAGGTATCAGCATGACACTAACCTGATTCTGCTATACTGAGAGGAACACTCTCATCAGCTGATAGATGTGCATATGGTTCTATGGTTATATTTTCATAGTTAAGAACCAAATCATCAGAGTACACCTACAAGTATAGATGAAAAAAAAAGAATGATTAAGCAGTACATATATACCGTACATGTAAAAATACAATTTCCCTGTTTGTGAGCCAGCTAAAGTTATACCCAAACATGACAATTTTATGTTTCCAGGTGTCTTAGAAATTATTATCGGATTATCTGGGGGTAAGAATAAGTATGACTTTTTGGAAATAAGTGGAAAATATTTAAAAATTCAGCCTAGATCTAAATTAGGTTCTTGAAATGCAAATCACAGTATACAGCATTTGGAAATCCAGTAACTGGATCGGAATTGCTGAAATTAAGACAAACTTCGATTGGGAACCAAAATAACCACCAATTAACTTTCAGATGCACTGACAATCCTAAAAATGTGGACATACATGTATATCTAACAATAAACTTGAATCAAAAAGTATCATCTCAACTTCATGTAAAAATATTACCAGAGCGAATATGCACTTATAAATCAAACATTACAAATATCAGATAAATTACTTACCAAACCACCACTTCTGATAGAGAAAGTGGCGCCCTCTAGGGTTGTGATAGACTGTCCTTTTGTTAATACAGTAAACTGTGCATCAGTTTTCACAATCACATGATGTAGGAAGGTTGTAGTGGAAGTCAGATGTTGTAGAGTAAACGCACATCCTTTACTTATTGTCAAGTTCTCCATCTCATCAAATTCACCTTTAAAAGTTACAATTAAACACACATCAGACAAGCAGCCTATCGGCTGAGATAGCTCCGCTATTAGCAATGCACATTTCAATTAAAGAACTGAAGACATCATTAGAAAATGAACAATATGTATAGTATCAAAGCAATCGGACTTACAGTTTTTAACAAGAAGTCGAAAATATCACTTTCTACCAAAAATGACAAAAATATTCACCAAAATTAGAGAATTGAAGATATCATTACAAAATGAACAAATCTTGAGAGAGGTCCACATGTAGTACCTATATATGTATATATGTAAAATCAAAGCAATTGGACTTGTGG